AATGGACACAAATATGGATCTCTTCCAATCAGCTGATCTGGCAGCTCTCTTACAAATTTCTGGTCATAGATGAGTGAGTGCCTCCAGTGCTACATCTGTTTGTTAAGATTTTGATTTGTATTCCATCAATACTTGGAATCTTATTCTTTTGCCAATGCCTACTGTGTACCTGGGACTTCTTCCTTCAGAATGCTACCTCTTGAAATGGTTGACTATCAACCATTTCTTTCTTTCTTTTTTACAACCTTGTGTTCTGCATTTTCTAAATGAAACCATGACTCATTTACAATCTTCCTATTTCATTCTAAAAGGCTAAAGAGAAGTCAACCATTTCTTTTTGTACAGTGACTCCATGTATTCCTTCCATATTCAAATTTTGCCCATTTTTCTTGTTAAGTGCCATTGAGTCAGATACAACTCATAACAACCATATATAGGGTTTCCAAGGCTTTAAATCTTCTCAGGAGCAAGAAGCCTCATTTTTCTCCCATGGAGTGGCTGGTGGACATGAACTGTGAACCTTGGGGTTCACAGTATATCGCAAGTCAAGGACTGAATTTTTTCTTCAGTTCTTTCAGCTTGAGAAAGGCTGAGTGTGTTTTTCCTTTTGGTTTTCCAACTCCAGGTCTTGTCACATTTCATTGTAATTCTTGCTTTGTCTTCTTGAGTTACCCTTCAAATTCTTCTGTTCAGGTCTTTTACTTCTTCATTTCTTCCATTTGTTCTACCATCTCTAAATAGAGGGCAAGTTTCAGAGTCTCTTATGACATCCATTTTAGTCTTTTCTTTCTTGTCTTCTTAGTGACCTTTTATTTTCTTCCTGTACGATGTTCTTGATGTCATCCCGTAACTCTTCTGATTTTCAGTCATTAGTGTCTAATGCATCAAACTTGTTCAAGAGATGACATGTAAATTCAGACGGGATATGTTCAAGGTCATATTTTGGCTGTCCTGGACTGTTTTAATTTTCATATTCAACTTGAACTTTCATATTTGCACCTTTATGTGCATCTGCATATGCATCATTAAGTTACCAGAGGAGAGAAGAAGGCAAAAAACAGACTCCAAATACATTAAAAAAAACACTAACCTAAATATCCAAAAAGCTCAACAACTCTACATAGGATATACAAACAGATACATCAAATGCTAAAATCCAAAGACAAGGAGAAAATCTTCAAAGCAAGCAAAGGAAAACATCTGGCCACTTACAAGGAAACCGCAGTAAGATAAACAACTGAGTTCACTTGGCTGCTAGCCAAAAGATCAATGGTTCAAACCCACTCTGAAGGACAGAGATGTGTGACAGTTTGTTTCCCTAAAGATTTATATATCCTTGGTGACCCTATGCAGCAGCTTTAATCTGTCCTATAGATA